ACGGAAGTCCTCTTATTTCTTAATAATTAACGCAAATTCTTTGGATTTCTTTTATTAGGGCGAAAGCGGAGGCGCCAAAGGTCGGCCTGTTACAGTGGTTGCCTCGGCTGTCGCGTAATTAATCCAGAAACGATAGTAGAGAAAATAAGAATAGAGAACGTATAAGATCACGTGCTGCGCGCGTGCTATGTGCCGCGTCGCGCTGGTGCTATCTATCGGGTGGGCGATCCTTAACGCTTCCCGAATAGTGACGTTTGACGAAAAATAATTCGTCGGACGTAACAATGCCATATTTATCTTTTTGCTTAGACTTAAAAACAGCAAGTGGAACATGACTATTTTTAATATTTTTTATAACCAGTTTTGTATTATTAACTATAACTTTAATGGAATCAAGTTTTAAGATATCTTTAGCGAAGAGGTTGATTGAATGAGGAGCACAACCAAATGCTGTTGTATGTGGATACTTTTCAGTAAACTTTTTCCATGCACTTTTCATGTTGGCAGCATTGTCAGTAATGAGTGCCATAAATTTTCCCGGACCTACATCATCAGCTACCTGTGAAAATTCCTCAAAAATAAAATCTGATATTTGTCTATTAGTATTGGATTCTATAGCTTTGTAAAACACTGACTTAGGTGTTGTAATTATAAAGTTAATTATACCTTCGCCTCGACAGTTTGTCCAGCCATCACTTAACAAACATAGGCACTTGGCATTGTTTATATTTTCGTTAATTGAAACTTGCACTCTTTCATGTTCGGCCTCAAGCAACATATTAGATAATAAAAATCTTGAGGGAGGTTTATACGCAGGACGAATCAATTTGAATGCTGCTTGCCAATGTAGATTTTCAAATATAGACAGTGGGGTAGCTGTGGCATACACAGCTCGTGCAATAGCTTCATCCATTTTCTCCTGCTCTTTAGCAGTGATAAAGTCAGCATATCCCGTCATCAATTTGCATTTCTTACTAAGTAATTTATTTGTACTTGGTAGTGGAAGTGGAAGAGAGCTACTTGATGCCTGTGATGACTGCCTGTATCTTGAAGCTAAAGCATGTTCGTCTCCGGATGAAGATGTACTTGCTATTGGCATCGGATCGTCCTTGTCCTTGTCCTCTTGGATGAAAACAGTTGGAATACTCCGAGTTGTTAAGTCTGTTGAATGTCCAGGAATTGCTTCCTTCACATCTGCTGCGATTTTGGTGCAAAGCGTTAACAGATGCTTCCTCATTCTTGTTGCATTGGGGAACTCATATTTAGTGTTGCAATATTTACACGTAGCTTGTCTCTTTCCATTTTGGGACAAGGTCATATTGAAATGATTCCATACGTCTTAAGTAGGCCTCACAATCATAATAGTGATCTGTAAACAATCATAAATCTTAAATTCCAGTTCAACACCATTTGGCACTCTGGAAGAGAAGAAAATATAGGTTATGCAGCATGTGGATATTTTCATGTGCGGATATACGTCATAGAGAGAATATATATAAATATAAATATATATATAATATGTAACATAAGTCTAAATACATTCTTAGGGTGATGGCAGAGAACGAGATCTAGTATACATGTCTCTCTTCTCTCTCTCTCTCTCTC